TGAGTTGCTTCTTCACATGACAAAGTTAATTCGACCCACTTTTTTTTATAACTCTCTCAATTTTGCAAACTTTCATTTTTTATTGATATGTTTTTGAATATAAGTTTGAATGACTTTACTTAAGTCTCTTGACCCGTGATCTAGTGAGTAGTCCACTTGGCATAATGATGTTCAACCCATGTGGCCTGTGTACATCTTGAGTTGTGTTCGCACCATGACTTGCATTTACACTAGGCGTTATGTTCACACTATACTTTGAATTCACGTTATGCTCATCTCTTTGCACACATGGTCCATTATACTTTGTGTCTTGATCTCCATCAAGAAGTCCGGAAGAAGAAATGTCTTTGTGTTGGGGTGTAGAAAAGTTGAAGAGAGGATGAAATGGTAAACATGATAAGCATAGATGGAGAAGATGTATAAACCTATGGTTGCAAGAGTGGGAGATGCAGATCAGATGGAGAGAGTGCAAGTAAATTAGACAAATAATAAGTCAAATTTGATTAATTTTTCTTTTAAAAATTTGTATACAAAAATTTTAGTTAAAATTTATCTTAATAAAAAAACATATCAATAAAGACTACTTTAATTACAATGGATTGATAGTAAGCTGGTAATCATGGTAAAGTTTCTGATAATTTAAATTTAATCACATACATGATTTTAAGCAAAAAAATTAATAGCATTTCTGATGCCTTTGGAAACTGAATTCTTTATCACAAGTTGCCATTCTCTGTGTTATTAAAGAAGTCTTTGCAAAATGGAAATTAATGGCTCCACTTTGGGGTGGTGCCCCTTTTACAGCTCATTACTCATAGGGCAGTGAGCAAATATTAAAGAGTGTGCTGGGTGCATGAGATGGGAATTGGGTTTTTTTTAAGACGGCATGAGGAAAAAGACATTTCTTTTTTTTATTGGATTAATATATACATATATATAGATATCATGTGAATCTTTCTGGTCAAATCTCTCACAATCATAAGATAACCTTACACAAAGGAGCAGATGATTTCTGCAAGGAAAAAGCAATCATGTTCTGTCGAAGTCACAAAGACCAAAATCTCATCCACCACACGCACGCTGCAGAATATTTTAACAGCAAACAGCAATGAGATACAATTGTTGATCAAGCATTATCTCTCTCCAAACAATCACCATTTCTTTATATAAAGAAATCGACAGGATGATGCTGCCTTAGGTATTTAAATTTTATGGTCAATGCCTTTTAAGTACCAGATTTCCAAGTCCCTTCACTGTGATCAAATGAAGCAGAGTGTCTTGAAGTAGTTTAGATCAGAAGATAGAAAAAACTCAATTATGAACACGGTATACAAACTTTTGTAAAATGTCTTGAAGTTGAGTCAGATGTAGTTTACAAATCAACAGAAAAAGAGTTAGGCAAACAAAATAAAACGCCATCCTTCTAAAATTAGGTGGAGGAAGAAAAAAACCCATACATTTCCATTTACTGATCTTTCTAATGAATGTACTACTGTGAAAAAAAATTCTAAGACAACTGTCTTTCTAAACACCTCCACAACCCCCACCCGCCCCCCCGGGCAGATCCACCAGACAGTTACAATACTTGATGCAGCATACGTTAAACTGCACCTCCCGAACCTGAATAAATATAAATGGTTATCATTTAAACATAATTGAAAGCAAATATGCCTTTAAAGACATGCATAAATAGCCAAAAAATTTATGCACCATCCATATATAAAATTATATGTGTCTACTTTCAGTTATCTTTAAGAAAAGAAAGAATCCATATTGACTCACCTTTTAAAAAGCTATTCAACTTCACCCCGTTTAAGCTAAATCAAGACTTCTATTGATACTATTCTGTTTGCTTTAGTACAAGGTCCACTACCAGAGGCCAGGGTCTCCCCAGCCCCCATTCTAACCAATCACAAACTATATAGAAATATTTAACTAGGAACCATACCTGCTAAGCTCAATAATACAAAATAAAGATTTCATATGGCTAAGCATACATACCTTGTTCCTCCAATAACTTTTTTAAGTGGTAAAGGAAATAGCAGAGATCCTCGTTTTCCTGCTTTACAAAATGGAAATTCCTC